CTGTCAAATTTAAATCTTGCACACCATAACTAGAGGATGGTTTCTACTTTCTAGGATCACAAAGTCACCCTCAGGAGATGATGTCACACAGAGCAGCAGAGAAGTGCACACTTGTGTGTAAAGTAAATACAGAAGGAGGCTCTGTCAAGTGCAACACACAAGGGTCAGGCCTGCTCAGCATAGTGACCCTTAATCCACCTATCATTCTTTCACTGAGCAAAATGGAAACTGACCGTTTGTTCAGCAAATATGAACTAAGGACAAATTAAAATTAGCTTAGACCTCTTAAAATGAGAAAGACTGAAATATCAGAAATTGTATGATAAATTACTGATGAAATTTTTTTGCTTCATTTTCTTGTATATGAAAGTACAGCTTCTCTGTCAAATTTCTTTGAAAGCCTACTGTATCTATATTTGCTGAATAAAACACCTGAACTTGGAGTAGTGGGAAATCCTTAAGGGCCATGACTGTTTTACTGACCCCTGTTTTTCCTAGCACTAAGGAGAAAGTCTGCTGTATATTGAACACTAAGTAATTGGTGAATTTTGCCTAATGAATTTAAAAGAGTCTGAAGGGATCTGTTGATACTAAAAGGAATACGTCAAGAAGATGTTCCTGGACAGTGGGAAGTGCTGAGTTTTGAATTAGCTAACCCTGGTGTTCCAATAGATCTTGTAAGCTCTCTATATTGAAGGGCAGATGTTTTCCTCGCATAAGCCTTTGATAGTTACGGATGATTTGTACCTTGATTTTACCCTCTGTGAAGAAGAACTAGACAATTGATAACGCTATCCTTACAGAAGAGCTTGTTTGAAAAAGATAAAAACATTTTGTCAACATATCAAAAGGGGCAAATCAATGTTCTTTAATATCAGAGACTGCTAAATTTGAACATTTAAATGAAAAAAATGTGAGGTCATCCTCACTTTGTAAAGCTCTGAAAAAATTCAGGTCCTAGAAAATGGAAATACAGATGGTATAAATCACAGATGCTGGGAATCATTTTCGTAATAAATTATGAATTCAAGAAATTTATATTTAAGAAGAAGAGGTTAAAGCCTAAAACATTTTATATGATATAATTCAGAAGAAGCAAATGAATTTTTTAAAAAGTAACTGATAATAAACTTGTGCTTTTCATTATTAGTAAATTGATTACCTACTTTCTGAGACCTAATTTAGCATTACAGAAAGTCGAATATTTGCCTAGGGAACTCAGAGTTGAGATGTTCATTCTGAATACCATTTCCAGGGTATTCTAGGATTATGAGAAATTAACATGTAGATGGCTGCTGTCAGATTACTTTGAAAAGCATAATGATTTTCTAAGTTTTTGTTTTCTCCAAAAAGAAGCTAATCTTGAAAAGCAATTAAAGCAGTCCAAATTTTAAGTGGGTGGTAAATTAAATATCCTTTAAGAATAATCATTTCGGATCCATCGGCCCCTGAGAGGCCTATTATGACTAACTGCTCTCAGAGGAGACTGTTATTATTCCTTAATTCATGAATGCCATGGTCACAGGTGATGAAACCTTAGGGGTACTAGAACTTGAGTAGATTCACTTAACCCTCTGTAAAAGTCAAACAAACTGGCCACATGGTCTACTTTATGGGTAGCTGGCAGGTCAGAACATCCCTTTATTGCCCATAAGTTAGGGATTTAGAGGGTCACACTGTCTTATGATCACTTGGAATATGAACAGCCTCCATATACTCAAGGTGGTCAATGCTTCTGGGAGTCTGGCTCTTGGTCTTGAGGAGCACTTTGTGACTGCTCAACATAGGTGGAATATGAGGCATTCCTGGTGTATGCTGAAACGCAGCATGTTGAGTTCTGACAGAGTACTGTCATCTCCAATAAAAGAAAATTCTACGTTACTGTTTTGTAACTCTGGATTGATATAACATCTCTTAGTAAGATGGGCCAATCACACCATTTCGTTTGTTTCAGATCTTCTTAGGCAGGAAGAAAAGGGAGGAATCAGTGTATAAACACCCTTTCCTTTCTCTCAGGGAGAGTATGTAAGGGTCATAAAAACTTGAAATAGCATTGTTTGAAATGCTATAATTCCAACACAACCTTTCTAACCACCAGCTGTCTGGAATTCCCATGTAAGATAATAAGAGTAAGAAAAGACTTGGTTATAATTCCAGTTCCAACTGCTTGGTGCCCATGGAAATTTAGCCACAGAATAAAATCTTTTGGGACCTCATGTGCTTTTTGCTCCATCTACATAATGAGGATATTACTACTAGAATTGTGAGGGTTAGAATGGTGTATATAAAGGAGCTAAATCGGCATGATAGAACAAAGGCGACGTGTGGGAGTGTACTTTCATATACATCTGAAAAGTCATACTATACTAGTCAGGGGTAGGAGGAAAGGGATGTATGGAAATGGCAAGTCACAGAGCCATAACAAAAAGTGAGTGACAGAGAATATATGCTGGGAGTGATGATTTCTCTAGAGCCGAGAATGCTGGGCCTGAAGACATTTAAATGATATCTGTGATAAAACGTAGTATTTAAGACATTAGAATTATTTTTTAAATGCTGTATTATTGCAGTATCATTTAAAAAAAAGAAGAAAAGAGGATAAGAACTACTACTGTTTGTTTTTCTAACTGCTTTGAGAAAGATCTCTCAGGGGAACAGAACACAACTGAAGTTGTGTAACTGACACAGTCCTCCTCTCCTCTCAATGTAGCACCATCATGTAGGTCTCACTGTGGAGCAGGGATCCTTAAAAGGGAACAGAAGAGGAATCTACACTCTCCAGCTTTGCTACCCTATTTGAATTTACACCAGTCCTGTGAAGTAGGTAAAGCTATCCGATTTTATAGACGAGTAACATGAATCTCAGAGACGTACTCTAACTGACTAAAGGGATAGCTAGAGTTGCAACATAAGTTTGATAACTCTCTACCAGGCTGTTATTGTGAAGAAAGACATTGGTTTCTGTAAACATAATATTTAACACACAGTAAGATACTCAATGAATCTGAAATGAATGGGCAAATAAATCACGTAATGTGGGAATAATCTGCTGAAGCTGTCAGCAGGAAGATATGGTTAGGCTAGGGACTACCCTCTAGGGAACGGTTTCGCCAAATACTCAGAACAACTAGTATTTTAAACATTACACACTGGGAGTTTCTGTAAGGCAAATACTGTGTCTTTATATCCCTCACATCTAGAAAGTGTTGGAATAAAGAAAATATTGTCAGACATTCGATCCTAATGCAGATTACAAAATTGTAGTTGTAAATGAGATTGTCTGGATCCAAAACAAATCAGCTTAAGTTTATAACCTTTACTCTTAAAATGTGATGGTTCACTTTTAAAAACAGAAAAAAGCCATCCAGCCTGTCTTAAAGAGCCCAACCTGCCCAGTCACATTTGCCTGAAGCACACAGGGGCAGAGTCAGGCTTCATACTAACCTCAAAGACAATATGGAGGTTGCAAAACTCTTGTGGTGAAGAGAGGAAAATAAATGCTGAGAGAAAGGACATCTTGTGATAGCTGCTATGGCCTAACAGGCTACATTAATGCTTTCCAGGGTTCCGAGTTTACAAGAAACCCAGCGCGGGTGCTTGCCGGTCACAGTGGGGGCTTCTTCATGACTTATAACCTGAACACACTGGCTGGCACCCACCACAGCACATCTGGAGTTTGTTAGACAACCTTTAGTTCTTATTTTCTTCATTGGCCCTGGCCCCTTCCTCTGATGCAGCCTCTCCAAATGCTGCTTAGCCATGAGTGAGTCAAGGAGACAAGCTACCCTGGGGGGTAAGTAAATTGGGACCATCTTAGAGGATGACCCCAAATCTGTAAATCCCTTGTTGCTTCACCTCTTTCTGATGATAGGAATCGCACACAGATGCCAAGAACCCATCAGGCAGTGGCAGCTCCATTTACTGGAAGGCCTGGTCAATGCTGACTGCTTCCTTGTTAGGAAATGGCCTTTAGATTGAGATACATTCCAGCAATTCAAGGACTAGAAGCTTTAAATTAAAACAACATTGATGCCATATCCTTTTTCCAAAAGGCTTCTCCCTTGTCCAAAAGTTAGTACACACACTTAGAGAAATTAAAGAATGAAAATATCTTTGGCAAGACTTCTTCCTTCCTGCTCACAGCATCCCAAAACATTTTGTGAGGGCAGGAATGTGAAACTACATGGAATGGAGACAGAAAAACACTGTTAGAAAGGCCTCCCAAGTACAGCCTTATCTTTCTCCTTACACAGATTACATCACCACCGAGTATTTAGGGTATACATTGAGATAGAAAGGTGTTAGGAAGTTTTAAGATACTCCTTTCTAAGGTTGTAGTTAAGGGATTAATTAACCTCCTTAACTCTCATCTAATGAAAACATACAGACATGAGAGTCAAGTAATCAAAAACCCCTGTGAATGAGCAACAGTACCCTGTGCTGGTAGACACTCTATTTGGTTCCTTAAGATAAAGGGCCACAAAGTACTGAATCAGATGTCCATATAGTTAGACCTAACTACTGAGACCTAATCTCACTAAGTTCTTATTTTCACAGATGAAAGGCATTCACAGAAAGTAAACATTAGGTTTTGTGAAGGCTTAGATTGGAAAAGGAAAAAAGCCTTGCTCTTATCTTCAGAGTTTACCCATCCCTGAATAACCGGAAGTTTTTAAATAAATCTATTCTTAGAACCTACTACAATCAGAAACTGATTTGGTGCAAAAAAAGAGTCTTTTTAAAATTTCAAGTGGGCATATTTTTACTAGTATCATCTAGTCTTTGAAAAAAGTAACAGCAACATTCTTACAGGAGATTCACATCTTCCAAAACAGCCTTTACCAAGCATACTGTTTCCTACACAGTGGGAAGATTAAGTCTGCACACACAATAACATAAGACTCAGATTCTACTATGGGACACAAGACCTTAAAACACGAGTTGGCAAACACATAGGTAGAGGATGGTGTCAAAGTCAGTCTGCTGGCGTTTAATCCTACCTGCTGCTTGAGTTGCTGCACCAGACGATCCTTCTCCCGCTTTAGTGCAGCCACTTCCTCTTGGGTCTTCTTCTTAGATGATGAAAGTTCCAAAAGAGCTATATTGGCATCTTTTTCACTAATGGCAGCCAGAAGAGCTTCTTGTCTGCAAAAGAAAGAAAATGCCAACACTTATATTTAACCCCCCAACAAGCTTTTGAAGTCACTATTACTCTTACACCATTTCATAGGTGATAACACTTAGAATGTACATAGGTTGCCCATGGCTCAAATTAGAAATAAAAGGTATAGCCAGGAACCCCATTTGGTTCTTTCTGACTCTAAATGTCTTTATCATGTTGATATACAGCCATCTTAATGTACAGGTCCTAAAAATGTTACAGTTAAATGTGAAAAGTACAGTTAATGACTTTTTCTTTTAATAAGAGTAATTCTGACCCCATACCCTTTATCCATTTAACTGATGGGTATTCTGTAGCTTCCAGGCAAACTGAAGCATTCCTGAAAATTAAAATATTTTGATGTGTAAAGTGTAAGACAAATTGTGTATGTTGGCAAATAAGGTTTAGAAACACAGCCATCTGTCCCAGGGACATTTTGAACATCTATACTTCTTTTTATCACATCATGCAAATAAGTTTCCAGTTACAGCTTGATTTGGCAACGATCTGCACACTTTGAAACAATAATTTGAACTGTACAAATTCCTTGTGGTTTGGTCAACTACTCTTTGGTTTACATCCAGGGAGGGAAGGTGGGACTGAGTAGGGAGGTAGATATGAGAAATTTATAAAATAATCAGACTGCAGTTGGTAAACAAGTAGTCTCCTACCCCAAAATGCATTCCTTAAAAGCTGTCTTTTAAGTACATCATCTGTAGGGAGACAGATTTGATTTACAGTAACTATTTAAGTGGCCTGAGCTTTTGACCTGAGGAAATGCTCAATCTGAGACTGCACTGCCCAAGTTTAACCTTGCTTCTGTCTTTTGTTAAGATAATTATGCTTCAACAGCAGTCATATGGAAGAGTTTTAGTTCAGCCACAAATTGGAAGACTATCTTTTGAACATTGTGATAGGGATTTTCTTTATTCTGGATATAGGTAGGTACATGTCTGCTGAACAAGCACAACTAACATATGGAGACATAGATCAGTTTAGATAATGGAAATACAGATTTATTTAACTAGTTTTTTTTTTTTTTTTTAAAGATTTATTTATTTATTTGTGCATACAGAACTGGGGTACAGGCCAGAGGCTCAGGGGCGGTGAGAGGCTTCACCAGAGACAGAGTGGGGAGCAGAACAGGCAGATTGACAAAGTACACTGCTGAGGGAAGCAGCAGGCGGGCCAGGAGAGGTCTGGCTCGCCATGTGGTCTCCTCCGGGGCAGGCGGCAGGCGGGAATCGAACTCATGCGGAAGCGGCTTCAGATTCTCAGTGCTGCGCTTCAACCCGCTGCGCCACCAGGGAGGCCCTATTTAACTAGTTTTAGCTATTGTAAGGGAAGAAGATTCTCACTGACCCAAGTATAACTTTCCACTGTCCCCACCAGCTAAATAATTCTAAGAAATAGCAGATGGCTTCTACCATGAAGGTCCAGTCAACACCAAAGGGATAACGATAGTCTAAATATATCTACTGACCACTTGTAAAAAATATGTTAAGTGGTAAAGTGAGCTTAAAGGTGAAGGAGTTCAAGATGGTCTCTCTATGCACAGTTTCCTGTTGGCTGCTGTCATCTGTTCCTTTTTGGGAAGCTCAATGACTGACGAAGCTGGAACAAGAAATGTACTTTCTCAGTCGGAGTGCCGTATTTCTTTGCACCAATAGGGAGATTCACACATTCAGCAGCAGGCATAAGTAACAGAAGATGAAAGACAAATTACTCTATCCAGTCAGTCATGAGCATCTCAGTTGAACGCAAGTACTAAGAAGGTGTGATCTCTGAGTTCCACTCTAAGTTTAAGCATCACAATTTGAAATCATTAAATTTATTCTGTATTACTAAAATATCTTCACTGAATTCCAAGTTCTTTTATAAATAATATACTTGGCCAGCTAACGTGGTACAGTTAATCTCTAGGGTAAAATGTCACATTCCCAAACTGAAATATGATATAACAGGTGACAATTCATATTCTAAATTTTAAAATAAAGGATGTGACATTGGAGTCTGAGTCACTGGAATAGTACCTTTTTAGTAAGATACATAAATTGATGTGTTTTCTTCTCACATACAATTCAAGCAGAGATTTTATGTCACTTAAGCTATTTCTTTTTTATTGAGCATTGATAATATACATGAACTGCACAGAGTCAAAAGTTCTCTCCAGGATTCTCACTCTAAAAATTCCCCAACAGATTAGCATACCATTGCCCTCTTCATTTGAAAAAATACTTTTATAGTGATTTCTACATGTGAATGTGCTTAAGAAGGGCAATTCAGAGTCAAGAGAATAAGATGTTTTTATTACATATTGTATATATTTAAACTCTGGGTAGTGTCAGTATCCTTGATGGGAATGTTAGCTTTTAAGTTTATCTTTTGATTTTGGAAAGAGAGAGTATTATTCGCTTGACTACAACTTTGATAATCTGAAATGGAAACCTGATAAATTTTAACAGAACAAACCCCTTGGAAAAAAAAAATTGGATAGGCAGAATATAGAAGCTAGTAAACAGTAATGACCCCAACTTCTGGGAATAAGAAAGATTGTTCCTTAATAGATCTGATGAGAAAGATCATATGGTATAGCTGAACTTATGTGGTTAAGTTTTACTGAGTAAACTTCAAAGGATCACAACTAAAAAGTTTTGTTAAGAACATCCTGCATTTCAGGGAGAGTGGTACGTAGAGTTAAAAAACAACAAAAAAACCACCCAGCAAAGAGCAGAAAGGATCTTATGTTAGTAGTCATGTACTCTCAATGCAACTGCTTCTTTGAAAAAGGGTATTTTCTGATCAAAGTCATATTGTTTATTGAATAAAAACTGGAAGATATAGACGACTATAAAGAAAAAAATACCAGAAATAGTCCCTTTATAATCATTCCATGTCTGAAGATCTAGAACTCACCTTATCTTATTTTCATGACTGTCTTAAAGAAAAAAAAAAACCTTGATGGGATTAACAATTGACTTTAAGAAAACTTTAATAATTAAAGGTTCTCCACAGAAAAGGAAGACCAGCTTGTGGAGCACATTATGATTTTGTTTCCCATGAGCCCCCGGGGAGTAATGCAAGCACATAAAATATGAAAGGTAATACATGTGAGCTACAAGCCCAGAGCAAAGTCAGAACTGCATTGCTCTTCCTGCCAAATTACTCTCTTTGCTCTGTGTCTTTTTCTCGGTGTAAAAATAAATTGAAAAATTTTCAAAGTGATTAGGAACCCCCCGCGGCATGACTAACATGCCACATTACTTGCATAATGAGTAGGTAGCAGCAGAAACCCAACTTTAAGTCATTAAAATGGTCTATTCACTTCATCTCAATGCTTTAAACTACCAGAACAGTTGAACTTGCCCTTTGACCTGCAAATTCTAATAGAATCAAGATGTGTCCGAAAGTACTCTGCTGTGGCATGAGAGTTTCAAGAAAACAGTGAGACCACCTCCTCTGTCCCCCTTTTTTCAGGGCAATTTTCAGAGACAGGAGGCAAATATCCAAGGCAAATGGGGCTCACATTCCTTTTGGTAATTCCTGAATCTTTGAGAATACAGTGGCCTTCTGTCACTAGTTAATGAGAGATGTAATTACGAGTGTTGGGATGAGGGTGGCTTATAATCTAAGAATGGGTCATAAATATGTGTATCTATTAGAAATGCAAGACAGAGAAGGAGAATAAATGAAGGGATGTTATCAAATTATCCATTTCCTGACACTTGAATTTAACAATTCAAGTTAAATGGTTATATAAGCATTTCCCATAAATTCCATAATCCTGAAAACATCACAAAAAGATGAGATGAGGCCCTCCTTGGTGGTGCAACGGTTAAAGCTCAGCACTGCAAGCAGGCTGCAGCTACTTCAGTAAGAGTTTGATCCCCTGCTCCAGAAGTGACCCACATGGTGCAGCAGACCTCTCCTGACCCGCCCACTACTCCCCTCAGCAGTCTACTTCATCGATCTGCCTGTTCTGCTTGCCACTAAGTCACTATGCACTTCTCGCCTGTACCCCAGTTCTGTGTGCATAAGTAAATAAATCTTTAAAAAAAAAAAAAAAAGATGAGATGAAAGAAAGAAAGAACTCAGTAGCTTTGGACATTCTATTGTCATGGACTCATACCCCTAAGTTCAACCTACTCTGATTTAAAAATAAAGTCGAGACTCTTAATGATGGCTCTTTGATTCTGGTGTTTGCTCATTTGTTACTTAATCAATTAACTACCCAAAGTGATAGTAAACACTTGAGATTTCATCCACTTTTTCATCACTTTTCCTGAAGGAATCCTTCGGATTATGATTCCTTTAGCTTCCCTTCCAGAGGTCTCAGGATGGTAGATATCCTACCTTAGCACAGAGAAAACCACAGCCCAAAGAGGAACCCTTGTGGAACCTATGCAGGGTGGGCGTGACTAAAACAGCTGACCTCTCAACCTTTGGTCCCTAAATTTCTTTCTTCCTCACTCTGTTACCTGTAAGTATCCACAAGTCTCTCTAGTGTAAAATATCAATACTAAATCAACTTTTATTCAATAAGACATATTTCCCTTTAAAGGTTAATTTAATCATCATAGTCCTGACTGTATAAACTGACAACATTTATGTAATTTGATTTCTTCTTTACTTCCTGTAACCAATATTCAAAGTTTTCTGGCTCTTGTCTTCTAATAATTTTTCATGAACCCACTGCTTCGTATCTGCATGTTCACGATCACCCTGCTCTGCTGAGTGTTCTCTGGTTTCCCCATCATTTTACACTGTCTTACTTTTCCAATGTCATTTTCATCAGCCCTCTCACCAGATCAAATGCTTTGTCTTTATGTTTAAATAGTTACAGCATTCAACCAATTTCTTCCTCATTGTCCTCCAAGGACCACTGCCATTGAGTTATTACTGGTTTTTACCTAGATGTTTGCTACGCGCTCTATCTGAAATGCCTATAACTTTCAAGATCCCCTTTAAAATCTGGCTGGCCTCT